TCTAAATTCTCCTCATTCATGGACATATGGATTATGGATTATGTGTTACATAATTATAAGTTAGACTTAGACACTTAGACTAACATTTTTCTTTCTACTGGGCCACCCAAGTTCTGAGCGCCTGCAATTTTCTTTCTACTAGGCCGCCCAGGTTCTGGGCGCCCGCTCCCCCAGCCACCTAGATGCCACCTAGCGTTTTTTGAAACACTGTGCAAGGGAGAAAGAGAGCCACTTAACAGGTAGCAGCACACCCATTTATTGGCCTGCAACTCCCTATGTGTAAGTGTCATGCATCCTCAACTAATAGGGGATTATAGGCCCTGTAATTAAACATGTTAAAGGAAAATGTTTCTACTTATTAGGTTGCATGTACCTTAAACGAATAGAAAACATGAGGTAATGCCTCTTAATCACCTTATTTTCAAGTATGAGCCCCCAATAAAGGAGAATATGTTCCAAATCTCGAAAGTGCCCTAGGAGCACGAATCCACTCTGGGAATACCATAACACGATTCCAGAGCTCGAACGCCACTTAAGAGTGGCCCTCCCAGCGATTATGCTCTCTACATCCCATGCCAATGCACATGTTTGTACAAATAATTAAGGCAAAACATTTGGTTATCCAGTAAGAGGACCGTAACAACACTCTCATAAAATCTCTTGTTACATGTCCACCTTCCATTTCTCGATCACTGAAAATTGGGGAATAAACTAAAACAAACATCACAAAGACCAGCCAGTATGTGAAGCAAAGGTGGGGCGATGGTGGTCTATGCCAATATTTTGTTGTCAAATGGCCACTTGTCGCGGTACATTGTTTTCATCAATCACCTATGTGCTTCACCAGAGATCTCCACAAGCTCTGGCCAAAATGGCCAAAAAATGAGATAGGGAATCCTACAAGAGGACCAAAAGATTTCTCAACAAATAATACAAGCCTACATTATATCTAGGGTGTCGTTTGCATAAGGTTGCAACCTTAAACAATCCAATTAAGGCGCACCTCCAAATTTTATCATAACATGTAATTCTGGTGTAAAAAATTCTTCGAATTATCTGCAAATCTATTTTCATATCTAATTATAAAATTTTAAACTCTAAAAATGCTTCCAATTAAGAAGATGTATAAAATGGAGGTCTAGATAATGTGTTACAAGATGCACTACTTCTGGGACTCAAAATATTTTTTTATTTTTTAATATTCATGCATCTCGATATCGAGATAATCAATTAGAGCGATTTTGAACATTAAAATAACATTTTCCGATGGATTTTGGAGGTGCACCTAAATTCTACATTTGAAGGTTGCAACCTTACATAAACGTTTTCCTTATATCTATGCACATCCAATTTTGTATGTATACGTACATGTATAAGAGAAAACTTCAAAAAAACGCCTCTAATGAGGCCTAAATTCAAAAATAAATTGTCACATCAAAAGCAAGCCTCCCATAGAAAGGCCCATCACTAAAGGTAGGGTGCCTGTTGACTAAGGAAGGAGCACTTTTTAATTAATGGTATTTTATTATTTAAAATTACATTTACTCGTATGACTATTTAATTATTTTTTTAATTTCAATATTCAAAGGACATGAAGTGTTCTAAAAATTTCTAAAATTGATTTTAATAAAAAAAAGTAATTTAGATTTCATTTATCAAAATCGCTGAGTTTCTTTTCAATAGTTAAAGGACATCGGATCTTCTAAAATCTTGTGCAAATTAGTTTCTTAATGTTTCTACTTTAAAAGAAACAAATATGTAATAAATCCTTCTTCAATTTAAAATATAAGATTAAAAAATCATATATAATAAAAATAATACCTCAAAATAACAACAAAGTCTTTAATGATTCAAAAGGATATTTTCATGAAAAAGCAAATTGTGTACAGAGCTGAACAACACCATAGTAAAAGCACCGTTTCTCAAGTAATGACCCAGTGTGCAGATGACTTCATTACAGAAGGCCTCTGTTGTGAAGGCCCTTTAATGAAAGCTCAGAATACTGGTCTCGAGTATCTATATAAGAGAGAAGCTTAAAAGTTTACAAGAGGAACTGCAGAAGGCCAAAATAGTCATTGATTACAACCTTTAATGTCTTTTCTTTATTTCTTAAGTTATTTTATTTACTTAGAGCATATTTTATTTCTAAACACCCCTCCCCCTCCCCACCCCACCCCAACCCTTTTCTGGTGCCTTGATAATTTACTGTAAACCCAATTTTATAGTGCGCACAGCCATTAAGTTTCTTTGTCGCTTATGCACATTTTGCAATGTCAAAATAAAGTCACAAATTATTAGGTCTACAGCCTCACCAAGTTTGCCTCTTTCTCAATGTTCTCATTACTTTCACTAAAACCCATCAAACACATCTTTGTTGCCCATGTCCTCCAATATCAGATCAACACATTGCTGAGTGGACTACAATAAAAGCGGGTGCTTCCTCATCAAAACATATCCTAACAGCTCCAACATAGTTCTATATATTATCTATGATAAACCATCCAATCACCCAAACTAATGAACCAGAATGTAAATATCATCCTTCACATGGAAGGCTGCATCAATCAAAACAAGAATACTCATAAGACAATCAACTGAGACTTCAATAGGGTTGGCCCTTTTCATCAGTCCAACCATCACCTAAAATGATGGTCCATCATAACCGAGCCACGCCTTTTCTCGTAAAATTTTGAAATAGCATTCATCTACTTGACTTCTTCCACTAAAAACCACTTTTTAATTAATGATAATTGGAGGCCTTCAATCAGGAATGAAACTGCTCAATGGCATGTAGCATAGATCAGAAGCCATGCCCAGAATTGAATACAATGCCACTGGATACAACCAAGTACACACATTGGTCAGAACCAAGTAGATACACATTGTTCACCCTATCCTGATCTTCTTTACTGTACCTGCCTCCACGAGATTTGGGGTGCAAAATGTCCATAGAACCATTTTGGTGTAGTCTTCTTGTAAATGGGCCCCCGCGAGGTACCAACTCCATTATACCCTCAACATGGCCGAACCCTCTTCATCCACTAGTGTCCCCCAAAAACATCATCCCAACTCTCAAACCTCATACAGCTTCAGACCTTTCTATTTCAGCCATTCTGTATCCACTTAAAACCGTATCCACTTAAAACCTGCTTGGTCTCCATCCACTAATGTAAGTGTAATTATGGAAAATGAGTCATTCATAAGTGTAATTATGGAAAATGAGTCATTCATGGTGGTAGATACAACATCAATTGATTTTGCAGAAAACTTACATCTAAAGGTGTTCTTGTCCTATGGCCCAGAAGGCGCCCAAATTACTTCCAATTGAGACTGGTGTCTTCATCAAGGAAGTATCATTGTATCGTAACTTATTCCAAACAATATATATTGGAATGAGAATTTCAAAGCAAGGAACATACAATAAGAAGCTCTAAAAGGAAGCAAACAACTTCACAACTTGTTTTTTGCAAGCGGTGTTAAGGGATTCGGATGAGCCCACTCGGACTCGGATGAGATACTCAGGCTGCGCTATGTGTAATGGCAAATTGCCCTGAGTTGTATGTAGAACTCCAGGCATTAAAAAAAAATTAAAAATGGCAAAAAAAAAAAAATTTCAAAATGCGATTGTTGTATAAATCTTCATATATGTATATTGGATTCTTTGGCAAATATTGGTGATTTCGTTTTTTGCAATAATTCTTATTTTTATACTTTCCTTTTTTTTGGATTTGCTAAAATGCCCCCTACTATAAATCAAATTTTTCTAAATCCATTTTTCTATACTTTTTCAAGCTTATTTGGATTTTTTAAGGCTGCTTTTGATCTTATTCAACTTTCAGTACCTTTTTCCATTTTTTCTGACTTTTTTATTGCTATAGGGCTTTGGGGCCCGTACAGTGATCAGGTTCGGGCGAGCCTGACTAGACTCACCAAAGTAACTCGCCTAGGGCCAAGGCCGAGTCCCAAGCTCGAGGCAAGTTCCTAAACACTGTTTGCAAGTATTACTATCAAAACTCCAAAACCTGCTTCAAATCTAATCCACATTTTAAGAAAGTTTGGGAGTGAATAAACCCAAAACAACTTTGGCTTCAGTCGAATTAAAGAAACAAATCCATGTTATGATTTTTCTAGAAAGACAAGTTTTGAAAATTTTAATAGAAAATGATCTGACGGTTGGGATTGGGCCTGACCTTGAACCATTAGGGCGCTGACCATTGCAACAGCCCATCCCGGCCTTGACTCCCATTACTGTCCTACCAAAAGAAAAATCCTCCCCAGGTTTAGGATTCATATAACCATCCGAACTCTCCCCACCATTTAAGGGCAAAAAATTGTGGTCATTGAGGGTAACCCACTATATTGGAGGTAGGGTCTAAGAGGTGACGAGGTATAAATAAGGCCATTCAAGAAGGCAAGCCTTACCTCCCACCTACTGTTACCAACTTTAACAATTAGTTATAGATGTCAAGCCTGTCCCTGTTTTCTATGTCAAACTATTTCATAAGATAGACTCTAACCTAAGTGATGATAAAATACACAAGACTGCTATTGCTGCTAATATGAAGATGCAATCCCTTAATAAAGCCTACAAATCGAAGACTAATGATCTGACACCCCAAGTGAATAACTGAGCAAAAAAAACCACAAACGGCAGGAAACATAACCAGTTGCTGATTAATCCATAATAAGTTAATAATCCTCGTCATTCATATGAGCAACTTCATTTAAGCTGCTATATACCGCTAAAACATTCAAAACAATCTTCTACAAAGCCTGTGACTCATAAATCCCCATCAACCACAGATTCGCAGAGCATAGTCTAAAGGCTCAATAATCTATAAGATCGCATCAATTATCATATAGGACCAAGAAAACTTAAAAAAGAATAGAAATGATGAATTCAATCACAGAATCCAATTTAATCAGCACCGAGCTTCTCAACTAAAGAGCCGTGTCGATCAATTCAAAAATGAAACTACCTGGGACGAGAAGCAAGCTACCTGCTCATACATGCCCCAATCCGACATCTCACAAAGGCCGCCTCAACCGACGTTATGGGTGCGCACAAGAACTAGCTTCTGACCTGAACCAACCATGGCTAAAAAAGTAGACAGACACGGCGAAAATCCTAGCCGTGCTCCATAGTCTTCATCAAGCAATCGCATCAAAAAAGTCCAAGTACAGATGCCGTAACGACCTAACAGACTCGACAAAGGCTTCGTCAGCCTATTGGCACAGTGAAGAAACACAAACCAGAGACCAGAAACTTCAAATCCCCCCAGTAACAAGCTTCAAATTTCACCGACAACAGTATCAATAAGCCCAAAACTCAAAACAGAGCTTAAGAACCACCTGATCAGAGCCTCAGAAACCCTAACCACAACGAACCTCAGCAGCAAGAAACCCTAAAAAGCACAAACGAGGAACAAGATCCTTCAAAGAGATCAACAAACCCTAACCAGATGCCTCAAAATACTCGCCTCAGACCTCGAAACCCTAGCCACTTCCGGATGTCAGAGAACAAACCACAGTTACAAAAAATAAAGGGAGAATCTCGGAAGGAAGAGAATGCATGGCTCAAGAAAGAGAGAGAGACGCAGAGAAGGGACTAGAAAGGCAGGTGGAGAGAGAAAGAGACAGAGGGGGAAGAGGGTGAGGATTTAGAGAGAGAGAGAGAGAGAGTATTTGGCGAACACGTGTCCATGGAAATCAAAAAATGAAAGGAGAGAGAAAGTAGTGGGGGACGTGTGGCTCGTATCTGAAATTAGTGGTGTTGAAGGGGGCATCAGATCCGATCAGAAGCTGAGCTCTCATTGGTCGCTTCGTTTCTACTGTCGACGGGCAGCCACGAGAGTTCCGCCACGTGGCGGGGGTCGGGCATCATGTGGTCTAGAAGCGTCGGGAGCTCACATGGTGGTGGGGCTACTTTGTTGTGCAGGGTGGAAATAAATGTGGCTCACACTTGCCGACCTTTCAATTTGACGGTTTAAATATTTGGATTAGAATAACATTTTAGGGTTTGTTGGTGTAGTGTTGATAACGGCGCCTTTCTCTTTCACCTGGATATAAAGACCGAAGCCACCCTCACCTTTATTCCCAACTAAAATAACGCCCTACTTTCTCTCTCATGCCCACTTTCTCTCTCTAAAACTAGGTTCGAGAAAACCACGTCACTTTGTGCTTTTCTTGGTAATTTTTTGAGATTTTGGAGTTGGAGAATTTTGGAGGTTAGGTTTAATTGGTTACGTGTGGACGCACATGGTGCAGGCGCACCTGTCCATTGGTCTTGGTAAAAACTAAAATTTCAATTTCTTGTATGAGCGTCTACTTTAAATAATCTACGTAAGGTGGTGCCCTCTAATTATACTAAAAGATGCAGTTTTTGTGCAAGAGAATTTTATGATGGACTAAATATATTTTCGTCCCTGAAATTTAAAGCTAATGTAAATATTTGAAGAACTTGAAAATGGACGGTCTAGATAATGTGCTATATACGATGTATTATTTTTAAGATTTGAAATTGATTCTTTTTTCGTTTCCACATATCTCAAGGTCGACATGACCAATTTGAAGATTTTACAATGTCGAAACATTCTATTTTAGTAGGTTTTTTTTTTCAAATTTTAAAATTTACTGATTTAGATTGGAGTCAAAAGTCGGCTTATTTAGATGAGGATATGTGGGTTGGTCAATCCAGATCGAGAAAAGTGGATAGCAATCAGCCCTGTTGGACACCCAGAGTGGCCCGATTCTCATCGTTTTTAATTTTTATTATTGTTTTGTGTTCTTTGTTATTTGACTCTGGGGATAAAGACTTGGCCAATTTGATCGTCTTTTTGGGCGACCAAGTTGGCCACCACGTTCTAAAATAAACTAGGGTAGAAACTTTTCAATTTTTTGATTTTTTTTTTCCCCTAAACCTTTTATGTTCTATTTTTCCTTAGGGTTAGACTTTTACACATCATAGAACTCATGGAGACAATTTGGTTCTCAAGAAATTATGAGAATTTTAGGGTGGGTTTGGTATCTTGCAATTTGGGCCAAATTGGAAAATTCCTATTCTCAATTTGTCTGTCCCCTCCTTTGATTGCCTTTATTTAAATCCATTGTCACAAAACAAGCTCTGAATTGTGATCCTTGGCAAAATAAATCTCACTTAATTTGTAAAACTTTTTCTACAGCATTTCTTGTGCGGGCTTTGGAAAAGGAGAAAATGTGCAAAGCTCTCCTATTACAATTTTGAAGAAAGACACGAAATTGAACAGAAAATGGTGGGTTGGGGTTTGATAAACTACTTGATGGTGTGATAAAAATCACTGGTTCATGGTTAAAAAGGTCCAACAAGTCTAAAGATAAAGGGGTAGTGTATCAGGTTCATGCACCATTACTGATTTATGAGAAGGAACTATGCCTGAATTCATAGATTTTAATCAGTGGTTTAAAACTCGGCTTGCGCCGAGTTACTAGAAGGGGTTTAAGTGGACTTGCCTAAGTATTCTCTAATATGAAAAACAAACAAACAAAAAAAACAATAAATAAAATAAAACAGAAGAAGAGAGAGGGTTGGAGTAAGCCGAGTTTTAAACCACTTATTAAAATCCCCAAGAGTGAGATCGGTCTTTGGACACTTGACCAAAGTGAGAGAGGGCCTTGGCCATCTCTCTCTCTCACACTCAGAAACATACCCACATATACACAGATCTCTCTCCTCTCTCGAGGTGTTTCTCTCTTTTTCTTTTCTCTCTCCTCTCTCTCACACACATAAAGGGATTTCTCTCTCATGGAGGAGAGAGAAATAAAAATAAGGGGTGGATCTCCACCGCTTTTTAGGGAGAGATGAAATGAGGTAGATTTATGCCTTCTTTCATAGAGAGATAGAAAGGGAGCAGATTTTTCGTCCTTTTTAGAAAGAGACAGCGAGGGATGGACTGAGTGAGAGAGCCGGAGATAAAAAGTAGGGTCGGATTTCTCCATCCCCTTTAAGTGAGAGAAACAGAGAGCATGAGATAGAGAGAAAATGGAAGAAGGGGGTGGAAATATCCCCCTTTGAG